TGAACTTGAAAATTTCAAAAAAATTGCTTGGATAAGGATGTCTGGAAAACTAAGACCCACCAAAATCAATCTTCTGACAACCTAGAGTAAAATGAAATATCTAGCTCTCTTCATCAAACTGCATTCAATTTATAGAAAGCCTCAAAACGTCAAACATCTCGAAACCATTGAAGTTCTTAATAAAAACGAAAGACAATTGCTAAATTAGACCATTTCCAAAAAAGCTTCAAATAAAAGTCAGAAAGCTAGTTTGAGGATCTTGGATTTCCAGAGATCCTTGTTCGAGCAGTTTTATTGGAGCCTTTCTGTCTATCAATCCCGATAGAAAATCCTTTTCGGCTAGTAAAACGCTTTTTCAGATGCTTGCTAGCTATTACCATCGAGAATACAACTCAATAATACAGCTATTCTGAAGTTATATCCGGCACTATATTGAAGTTATGATTCACATATTCTATTCCCTTGTGAAAAACATACTCAAGAGAAATATGCGATCATTACGTTTTTTTGTCATTCCACAAGCTACTACAATTGCCTTTTGGCATTTAACGCAATCTTATATGTCTACTTTATTAGCATCAAAGTTCGTGACACATACTGAAGATCTTAACAATTAGCATGCTCTGAGATAGTCAGCGCATGCTGTAGCGCTAACTCAATTTCATTTAGTTCTGCGGCTATACAAATTTCACAATAGATTTGCAGTCTCATGGGAATTTTCTATTGAAATTTTCAAATGAGTTGATTATAGTCATTGTAGAAAAGATCTATCTTACTAAAAAACAGCATTTATTCTTCAAAAGACATTCTTAATTAATAAAAAACAATATCTCAGTCATAACTACGAAAGTAGCCTTTTAAATAAATTTTGTACTGTGATCACAGAAGAAAGATGAGAGATGTCTGAATCATACCCCTAGTACATATAAATCGATAGAGAACGAATTGATGCTTGCGATCAGGGTTTATTGCTGCACACATACACTCAAAAATATCACCTTAATAACATAAAGAATCGTAACACTTCATGGAGAGAAGTTACTTTTGCTTACGACTATAATTATCATCAACTCTTTCGTTGAGGAGCGATGCATCAGATGTAATGTATGATTTCTGTTAATTAATCAATTTCTCGCAACATTTGAATTTCAATCAATATATTTACATTTTTGAAAGTTCCTCGAAATCGTTTCATTTTCTTGAAAAATTCTTTAAACGAAATACAATAAAAGACTTGAAGTCTTCTAGTGCCGAGAGCAGTGTTTTATTCAATGTGGTGACATCTCTCCAAAGATCCGGTTGGCCATTCCGGAGTTTGTAGTTATTGTATCGTCTGTATTTCCAAAAATAAATGTTCGTCTTCTCAAGATTTTAAATCCTCTCTCCGGAATATAAGATCTGAGTAAAACACTTCGTAAAAGAGCTTTCCTTAATGACATTTTATTTTATTATATGAATATTTTTCGTTTAGAACAACAAATTATGTACAATAGCGGCTAATATATGGGGCACACGTTTTAAATTTTATGGTCATTCAAATCATCTACCTGAAGTTTTAGGTAGTGTAACTTATAAAACCTCATTTTTACATTTACAACCTCGTCAAATGACAGTTCGAGTAGCTAATAATGACAATATTCGTAAACAAAGACAACAATCAAATACTAAAATAAAATCTAAAAAAATAATAAATCCTCCTAGTCGTAAAACAAAACAATTAAAACGTAATAAAATTGATGAAATCATAGATAATGAAACAAAACATTCATCGAATATACCTATTGCTCCAATGTCTCCACAATTATCAAATATTCGTTCAAGTTTACTTCTATATCAACAACCTCTTTCATCATCTATACATGAATCTAGACACTCATCTCAAATAAAAACTAAAAATACATCACAAAGATCATCTCGTCGTTTACAGCGTACATCTATAGCAACAACTATAATACATCAACGGAAAACAAATATTGATTCATCAGCTGCAAATTCTTCTTCAACATCACCAATTAATTTAAGTCGTTCAACATCTCCAGCAGCTTCAGTAGCAAATTTTATTCGTCCTATATCTCCACCTTATATTCAAGTTAAACAGCCAATATCACCAAAATTTTGTCGAACATCTTCAACAACTATAACAAATTCTCAAACATATTATCGTCATTGTTCACCACAAACAACAGTATCATCCATGACAAATAATGTTGATGCATCAACAGCTAGTGCAACAACAACATTATTAATTGATGATTCATCCGGTTATGATAGTAATGAAAATCCAAATAATCGTACAATGATTAATGCAGTTTCAAATGTACCAGAAAGTTGTTTTGAACCTGAAACATATCGTAATTTATATCCATTTAATAGTAATCAACAAAAGAAAATAAGTTTAAGTGATCCAACATTAAATCAAACAAAAAAACGTTCACAACAACAACAACAACAACAAATTATATTAAATTCAACAACAACTAATCAATATTTTTCTGTTTCATCTCTACAACAACAAACATCAAAAGAAGATGAATATATACATACTGATGATGACAATGATGATGATGTTGATGATGATGATGAAATTAAAAATCTTAGCTCATATGAACAAACATCATCAAAAAATAAGGTTACAACGGCTAATGAATCTCGCAAAGTAAGTATTATCGATCACTTCTATTTTATTTTATTAATTGACTGAAGATGATCGCAGTCAACACCGTTCGAATTCTCTCTATGCCTATTATTGAATGACGAAACGCATTTTTTTTTCTTCAGAAATATGCAAGTCCACGACATCGTATGATGACATGTACTAGTGGAATTCATGATTCTTTAACAAAATTGTCACCATCATCAGATATTGATCAATTAGGCAATCAAAGTAATACATCGTTTTATGTAATGCAAAATCGTCCACCGTAAGATCTACAATAATAGAAATTTAGAAAAAAGATAAAAGTCAATTTTATTTTTTTAAGCTTGTGGAATGAACAATCGCAAGTATATCAGTTGGATTTTGGCGGTCGTGTAACACTTGAGTCAGCAAAAAATTTTCAAATTGAATTTAAAGGCAAACAGGTAATTAAATTTTAATAAAAAAAAGAAAAAAAGCACAATTAAATATCATAAATTTATTTTCTTAAAGGTTATTCAATTTGGTCGTATTGAAAATAATTGTTATACATTAGATTTTGAATGGCCTTTTTCACCATTACAAGCATTTGCCGTTGCTCTTGCTAATATAACCCAGCGTCTTAAATAAGATTGTATACTTCTCTGGCTTTTGCTTCATGTGTTCTTTTTTAATTTATCAGTATTGTACAAAGCTTTTCTCAGCGAATGCTCAGAATCCTTGCGTTTAATTTGTTTTTGTCTGTATTCGTCCGTAATTTGCCAATATAAATATATAAATATTTGTTTATTGAAATATATCTCTATGGCAAATCGTATCAACATAAATTGTAGATATAAAAATCATAAGAAAATATTGGTCAATTCATACTATTAAAATATGTCTATTTCTATTATATGAAGCAAGTATATTTGAATTTTACACAAAAGAATATAAAGAATTTTTATTATCAATTGTAGAATATAACATTGATACATAGAGAAACAATGAGATGATGTTCTTAGTGATAATAAGAAGAGATGTATTACGCAAAAATTCAATTTCACACAAATTTATAATGCATTAAATTTGTGCTCATTTTCATTAGAGATACACAAAAATATTGCTTTTTCTTTTATCTCAATGTTTTATGGTAATATCATTTTTGAAGTATGAGAGTGTTTATATTCAGTAAACTTTGATTAGTTAAGTACGTATGATGATATAATATATTAACAATTAGTAATTGTCGACCTTTATATAGTACATCTGGTATTATTAGATATGACTCTTATTAGAGAGGACAAGATCATTTTTCATAAGATAATTAACCATCTGGAGTTGTGACATTTTGTCTATCTTATATCCATTGATAGAATGTAAACAATTATGTGATGATTAAATTAACTACGATGAATGTATTTATTTTATTTAGATATCAGAAAATCGATACGTTTTAAATCAATTTCACTCTTTTCTATTATATATTTCTTTTTTAATTATAAATAGATCATAGACATTTTGATATATTCTTCAGCAAGTTTTTGATATTTTTGTTATAGATCAACAAATAATGTATCATCGGTTGAAATCATACAATAGTTTTTATGTTGAAGCTTAATAACTATCGATATATTGGCTTCTATTTTTTTTAAAGACATCTTAATTAATTAATAAATATACATATATACTGAAAAATAATTCGTTTTTATTATTTCAACAATTATAAACAATGCATTTATTAAAAATAGTACTTGTTCAGTTTTCAAGCTTTGTTGAAGGATCCAATCGTTGAAAAAATAGATACTTACAAGAAAATCACCTGAACTGTAACTCACAAGGAAGTCATCAAAGAGTTGTACTCATAGAGTTTTGAAGTCGAGTTATGGCCATTTTATTGAATTTCGATTTGAAATTTAGCCCATAGGATGGTCAAATAGTCCTTAAAATCTCCTGAAAGTTTCAGTCGAAAAAATTGTTCCTTAGTCGAGATATTGAATTAATCAATAAACTCGATTTTTATGACAAATGAATATTTGTCAGATATTTAATATTCTCAACAAAGTAGTATTATTTTCGGCGAAAACTTTCAAATATATCGAAAATTAGATGGAAAATTTTAGCAAAATGGTCATAACTCGACTCAAGAAAATCATAGGCATGATTTGTTTTACGAACTTCTTGAGAGCTCAAATGGTGAGTTACAGTTCGAATAGTTCCCTCCTTAGTACAAAATACAACTCAATGATCGTCAACATACAGAGGATCCAACTTTTTTTTTTTCTTAAGTTTACACACTTTTATTGGTTAATGGCACTAATAAAATTTTTTTTCTTTACCTTTCAAATATGAATTTCAACAAAAAATTCTTTCTAGATAAATAACTATGGAAGAAGAACAAAAACAATCTATTGATAGTACATCAAACACTTCGTCAAACTTGACAGAACAGCCTAGACCAACAATCATACCTGATGATTCACAATTATTATCAAACTCACAAAAAACTCAAACAAACACAAATACAGATACTGAACTATCTAATTCACCAAAAAAACAAAAGAAAAATGAAGATATTCATTCTGTTTCCATATTATCACATGATACTGTTGAATCTAAATCAGAAATAAAAACTAATAATAACAATCAACCAAATATTCCAATACATACACATTACCAAGATATTTCATTTAATGAAAAAAATGCTAGTTACTGTAGTTTTTCTACTACTAATAAAAAGCCTACTGAACCTATAGTAAAATCAAATAAAAAATCTGAATCAACACAACCACATCCAATTCAAGAACTTCTTAATCAAGCTTCAACTGTTACAACTGATCAAGATTCTGATGAAGATGAACAACAAAAGAAAATAGCTACTGCGAAAAAATTACTTTTTCCAAATGCACTTGCAACATCATTTTCTGAAATTGCTGATACATTACGAAATGAACGACGACAAGAATTTTGTCCTATTTATCAAGATGAAACACCAGAACAAATAGCTTTACGTCAAGAAAAACAAAAACCTATTGGTAGTCTTCTTGCAAAACGTATACGTTGGGATGATTTAAAACGTAAACGAGAAGAAGAAGAAAAAAAAGCACAAACACAATTTCGTTATGGTCCATATGGTCCAATATATTCGAATCAACAATCCAAACAATCATTTGCAAATCCATATGAACAATATTATGCAACAGTGCAAAATCAATATGAACAGGTATATTCTTTATAGCAGGAAGATTCCAACGTCGCTAGAATTAAGAAAAATGAATTGATGACTTAATAGGCAAATAGAATGTTTGATAAAGTTGACTAAATTTTGAATAGAGAGATAACAGAAGATCATCTTCTGCTTTGTAGAATTTTATCTTTAATTTATCTTGTCTTCTAGATGGCACAAATGTCTCGTGCTCAACAAGAACATAGTGGTTTTTGGCCAGAATACTGTCAACAATCACCACTTCAAAATAATGATCGAATTGCACAAAATTCAATACAACAACAAATACAACCTTATACATATCCATATGCAGCTGTGTATTCGAATAACACAACAGACATGAACATAAGTGTTCCGTCATCATATACATCTGATAATCCGAATTCATATTTGAATAATATAATGCAACCACCACCACCACCACCTGATGAACCATATCCATATTAAATATTTGTATTTTTTTCCTGTTTTTTTTGCATATTAAAAAGAAACAAAATGATGGAATTTCATTTAAACTAGAGAAATTGTTTTCTCGTTTGTTGTAGATTATTTAATATCAGGAAATGGAAAATGAAATCGTATGGAAATTTTATACTTCGATAAGTTTGAAAAAAATTCGTCTAGCATAAATACTCGGAAATTAACAGAATCAATTTACTTTTTTCCCTTTTTCAATTTATTTTATAAAGTCGATTCAATAAAAAAAACAAAATGGTACCATATAGAAATGAGTCTGGTCTTGAATGTTACATAAGTTGAACTGTAAATGATGAAGATAATATTCTTCTGTAAATTAGACAATATTCTCATGAGACTGATTGTTAAACAACAAGGAAAATATACAATGACTAGGGATGAAATCAGTCTGAATAGACTTGATTGCACCAATTAGCTAGTCATTGATATCTGTCCCTTGTAGAGCACATCGGGTTGGGTCCAAGTCCGAAAGTTTTGGATCCGACGGACTCTAGTAGTCTAAGAAATGTGTAGGGTGTACTAACTATTAAATACAAGAAAAAAACAGAGAAAAATATTTTCTATTTTCCGCGCGACAATCTGATTCTGATTAGAAGATCACATCGAGAGTATCAAAACACGGTTCAATTGGATAGACATAACAATGTCCTATAGATATTGTCACAAGAATCCAACATCAATTTTGTATTGAACTTTTGGGCAAAAGAAGATACGTTACTAAACTTCTAGTTGATGATTATTCTACAAGTTTATCTGTTAGGAACATTGCCAATAATAATTTATAAAAAGTTCATTTGACACGTTGACGTAACATTATAGACATTTTAATAATGCAATATCCACATACAAAATTTCTCAGTATTGATATATTTTGTTGTTTTATATTATGTTCTAATTCTATATCAATATACTTCGATTGGTAATCACTTCATATCAGAGATATCCATAGCGACGATGCCACAGCGGCATCAGTGACAGCTTCATTTTTTTAGGAAGATTATAAAATTGCATGGATTCGTACCAGATTTGAGTGTCTACGAGTCAAACAATCAGAATCGTGGTGAATCTGCATGACTTAATCTAACTGTACTAATTTAACACAGTAACAGAAGATGTTTTCGAGGAATCCCTTAAAAATCATCGATTGGCAGGAAGAAGTGTTCAGCTTTGATGGACATCTATATTTCATCTACACAACACATCTTAAAATTTTTTTTTCTAATTATATCATATGAAATTCTTTAAAGTAGTCGATCATATAGATTATATTCTAAAATGCAATAGATAACTAAACAATTAAAATTTATTTAAGTAAAGCTTGTTTTTTTTCCGATTGTTTTTTTTTTTGAATAGATAAACTTTTGTCACCATACTCTTGCTTTTGTAACCTTGTTTTTCGTTCTAATCTTCCTACGCTTGACTTTGGCCGTTCTCTATTACCGATAAACAANATTGATATATTTTGTTGTTTTATATTATGTTCTAATTCTATATCAATATACTTCGATTGGTAATCACTTCATATCAGAGATATCCATAGCGACGATGCCGCAGCGGCATTAGTGACAGCTTCATTTTTTTTAGGAAGATTATAAAATTGCATTGATTCGTACCCGATTTGAGTGTCTACAAGTCAAACAATCAGAATCGTGGTGAATCTGCATGTCTTAATCTAACTGTACTAATTTAACACAGTAACAGAAGATGTTTTCGAGGAATTCCTTGAAAATCATCGATTGGCAGCAAGAAGTGTTCAGCTTTGATGGACATCTATATTTCATCTACACAACACATCTTAAAATTTTTTTTTCTAATGATATCATATGAAATTCTTTAAAGTAGTCGATCATATAGATTATATTCTAAAATGCAATAGATAACTAAACAATTAAAATTTATTTAAGTAAAGCTTGTTTGTTTTCCGATTGTTTTTTTTTTTTGAATAGATAAACTTTTGTCACCATACTCTTGCTTTTGTAACCTTGTTTTTCGTTCTAATCTTCCTACGCTTGACTTTGGCCGTTCTCTATTACCGATAAACAAAAGTAATTTATTCTGTTCTTTTAATCATGGATTTATTGTCACCATTGGCTCGTATTGACATACACACTCACATTTTACCATACAAATTAAGTGCAAATGCTCAAAAATATCTTGAATTACGGCCACATGCCGATGGTGATCCTCGAATGGACATGTTTAAAGATGGAGAATTTTTTCGAACTATAGAACCAAATTGCTTTGATATTGATGTTCGTCTTCGTGAAATGGATGAAAATAATATTTCTATGCAAGTTCTTTCAACAATACCAGTTTTATTTAATTATTCATGTAAAAATTATCAAGATATGCTTGAACTTTCACGTGAATTAAATGATCATATATCATCTATTTGTCGACAGTATCCAACACGTTTTATTGGTCTTGGTACAGTTCCATTACAAGCACCTCATTTAGCTATTGAAGAACTTCGACGATGTGTTAATGAATTAGGTTTAAAAGGTGTACAAATTGGTACACATGTTAATGAATGGAATTTAGATAATGAAGAACTTGATCAATTTTGGTGTGAAGTTGAAAAACTTGATGCTTGTATATTTATTCATCCTTGGGATATGCCGACAGGAAAACGTTTTGATGCTTATTGGATGCCATGGTTATGTGGGTAAGAAATATTAGTTCTTTGTTATCAACTATTCATATTATTATCGAACTCTATAGAATGCCTTTTGAAACAACAGCAGCCATATGTTCAATTTTAATGGGTGGTGTTCTAGAAAAATATCCTAAACTTCGATTAGTATTTGCTCATGGTAAATCGATTGATAAGAAATTGATTTCTTATTGTACTCTTGTGCTTTTTTGTTGTTGAGGTGGTGGTTCATTTCCGTTTACTGTTGGTCGTATTGATCATGGACATCAATGTCGACCAGATTTGTGTGCATATAAAAATCATCAACAACCATCATCTTATATTGGTCGAATTAATGTTGATTCACTTGTTCATGATTCTCGTGCATTAAATTTTCTTGTTGAAATAATGAACGAAAATTGTGTTATGCTTGGATCGGATTGCCCATTTCCTCTTGGTGAAAGTAAACCTGGCGAATTAATAATGGAAACTTTTAACAATGATTTAGATAAATGTAAAAAACTGTTAAACAGTAACGCACGGCGTTTTTTTAAAATTTAGTGTTCAAGTATTTTGATTGAAGATCAGACAATAGCTATACATGCTAGATTATAATTTTTTTTTTTAAACAATAAATTATTCAATAGATAGATATGAAAAGAAAACCAACATATCGCGAAAGATTACAATAACAACTATTCATATCTTTCAATCAATCGATCTTGGTTGTGATCTTGTTTAAATATGCAAGCAAAGACTATAAATGTCTCCGTCTATTGAAGATTTCCTAATCTTATTCCTATTTTCTATCTGCTGTTTGGTTGAACACTAAAAGATGTTCCAAAAGTTCGTCGAGATAAAAAAAAACGTGAATTTTCTATAACTTCGTTCGATCTTCCTTTAAAATTTTACTAGATATAGTCCAGTTTAAGTGTCTTTGAGTATACACATTACAATCAAAATAACTTTACTGATGGGTGAATTTGAGCCGCCTACAATTATAAGACGAACCATGCCAGTTTAATTTGACACAGAAACAATAAACGAAGATGACATGAAAGAGATCTCTAAAAGCTTTTATGAAACTGATACATGAACAGACTAGTCACATTCTGAAAAGCCCGCAGTAATGGCCGGAGAAAAAGTCGATGTAGTTCATGCTACTAACCCCTCTCCTCCCACAATAAAAGACTCTGGGTCTTCTATCATGTTGAAACGTTCACAGTTTCCCGGGGGTCATCTATTATGAAGAATCTTCTAATAGGATTTCACCATAAGTTTTTTCAAAAACCAGGTGAACTCTAAAAAGCTCAATTAATGCCAGTTCTTACTATAAAGTATCCGGTACGTAGCAGAAATCTTCTAAGAACAGGAGTGAATCTTCGAAAAAGGCTAAGCAGTCAAATTCATAATTTTTTGCTTTGCAATAAATTTCTCCTTACTTTTCTACGGGAAATTTACTTGAAGGGGAAGTTTAGAGTCCCCTTAGTCTCCCACTTCAATAGGTCCCTGTGTAGCACATGATTGTTTATCAGCTGATTATAATTAGATTTTTATCGAATCCGGCTGCTTTATTTCAGAAGCCACATACTTTGATATTAGACACTTACGGAGCCTACGATTCTTTTTGTCAGATATTACCAACTCTGTCTACTTTATCCAAAACTAGTACATCAGTTATAAAATTCAGAATGCAAGATCTAGAATCCAGCAGGATTCATTCAAAATTCGGAAAAAGAATTTTGATTAAATCTCATCGAATTTGAGAGCATTTCCCTAGATGGAACAAAATATGGTTCGAGTTTGGGATTGAACAGGCACAAGTGACAGAGTACACTGCACAGTATCCGTTGATTCTGGAGTTGTTTAGTATCAAATATATATGATCTTTGATATAAAGTAACGGATACTCAGTACATGTTTAATTACAATAGTTAAGATAACTGATCACTTCTTTCCTCAGTTCTTTATTTTGTGCCTTTAACTCAAGCGGAAGCATCGTACTCATACTCTTAGGTACTCCAAAGTACTCGGATATGATTTTTCTCTGATCGTGACAAACAAAGTGATACAAAAATTATAAGAGAAACTATTGCTATTTCTAGATTTTCAGACGTAGATCATTGTTAACAGTTACGCTTGGTCTAAAAATCACTCATATGAGACAATGAGCTTATTGATTCTGATCCATCGAACATGATCTTCCGACAAAACCTTCCAAACACATACTTTATGATGTTTTGAAGTTCGTCTTTTCCATCGATGTGACGTTTACCGAATTATGGTCGTATTCTCTTGTATTATTGACCACTGTCAGAAAAACGTAATCTTATATCTT